AAGCGACAGCAGCAACATTACACAGAGTGATGACACGTGGATTGCTTGCCGTGAAGAAGACACCGGGTTCAATGAAATTACATTTCTTTTAAAACCTGGGTATCAGCCACCAAGAGGTAATAAACTTAAAACTCCACTACATTTTTTTGAATTATTTTTTCTCATGTCTTGACTGAAGGCATTGTGAAAGAAACTAACAGATACGGAGACGAAAAGATAAAGAAAAACATGCAATTTACCAAACGCAGTATTTGGTCATCGTGGTATCACGTCACCAATGAAGAATTCAAAGCATTTTGGGGTGTTTTACTAACCATGGCTTTAAATGAAAAGTGGAGCTGCAAGATTATTTTAGTACGAATGGGCTGGATCATCAGCCGTTCTTCGGCGATGTTTTCAGCAGAGGGCGATGTTTGCAATTATTTTGGAATCTGCATGGTAACGTGCCAGAGAAAGGCACGTTCGCTGATAATGCCAGTTCGAGTAATTTACGAAAGTTGAAGATTATGAATAATTTAGAAGAAAAACTTCAAAGATACTACACGCCTATCACACAAATCTCGGAACGAAAGTACTGTAGGATTCAAAGGCAGAGTTTCATTGAAAACTTACTATGAAGACAAACCCACAAAGAGGGGTATCACAGTTTTTGTTCTGTCTGATGCCAAAAATGGATATGTATACTCCCTAGAGCCGTATTTTGGAGCGCACACGTGTATGAATACGGCGAGGCCAGACTTACCATTCACGAGCATAATAGTTGTGCACTTGTTAACGAAATATCTTACTTCTCCCGGAGAAGGAAGAGGAGCGCATGTTTACACAGACCGATATTACACCGTCCACAATTGGAACTCCAATTACTAAGTTTGGGTGTGTATTTGACTGGAACTGTCAATACCATTGGAAAAGGTTTTCCAGTTGAGATGAAACCAAAAGCTTTGAAAAAACTGAAAAAGGAGAATTTGTATCTATGAAAACATCAAAAATGTGTCATTACTTGGAAAGACAAACTATTAGTTTGTACACTAACTACTTTGCATAACAGTAAAATGAAGACCATAGTTCGGAAACAAAAGTGTAATGGAATTTGGAAAGATACTGACTTTCAGAGGCTTGTTGCAGTGTGCGAATACAATGCATTCATGGGAGGAGCTGACGTAGCAGATCATTACGCAACTTCATACGCTTTCGGGTGTAGAACTGCAAAGTGGTGGGGGAAATTATTCTTCTAGTTATTAGAAGTAACCATCAACAACGCCTAGCTATTGTTCAAACAGGTTTTTCCAGAGGAAGATATCCGTGCAAGGTTGTTTCGTAAAAAACTCATCATGCAACTAGTAGGAGATTGGAGACATCATGAAACATCGAAGCGCTCATCCTCTGATTTGGACAGAGTTTTGGATATCACCAGACTTGATGGCAAATTTCACGCCGCATACAGTAAGAAAGGAAATCGAGACTGCAAAACTTGTCCTGGCAATCCGGCCCTCCACCCGGGGGAATGTTTGGAGCGGTTTCACACCCAAAAGAAAATCAAGAGAGATTAGAAAAAGTTATTTCTGTACATATCAATATTTTCTAAAGACATGCTTTAATATGCATAATGCTTTCTTGCAATGTGTTGTTTATTCCCGAAAAGAATTTAACTACAAAAGTATGTCAATTTGAATTGAATTTGCCTTATTTTACGTGGCGAGACTCGGGCCATCAGGCCCGCTCTTCCGTCTGACCACGCAAATTTCGCTACGCTCCTTTCACCAACTAGGAGAGAAAGGAGGTATTTCTTGGGCGGGAAACAGGCGATTTGAATTTAGCTCAGAGGCGTCATTTAGGCATGAGGATCTTTTACATGCAAGTAAATCTACGAACATGGGACAGACGGCTTTACTTCCCCTCTGAAGGAAGGCATTGTACGAAGGATTTTTTCGCCCTTGAAAATCCACGGCTTCGATCGGGTTTGAACCCGCCAACTTGGGTACAACAAAGAGTATACAACAAAGAGTTGTCACTAAATATCCGGCCAAAATCTATAAAGGTATTTACTAGTCGGGAAACAATATGTTTCGCTCCGTGTGTTATGTGAACATTGAGTAAGCTGTTTATTCTGTATTATCAGATCAGTTATCATTTATCAAAATGCTGAAACTGACGTCTTTAGACAAACGTGAATTAGTTTTGAAGTTACACAATGAAGGTAAAACTTCATGTGAAATATCGTCAACTTTGGCTATTGGAAAATCCATTGTTAATGATATACTCAAAAAGTTTAAGATTACTGGTACTGTAGAAGCTAAACGCAATCCTGGGCAACCTAGAAAAACGACTCAGCTTGTTGATAAGGTGATCAAAAGGAAGGCTGTCTCAAGTAAAGAAAAATGCTGCTATTATTGCATGCGAATTGCGTCAAGAAAATATAGCTGACATTAGTCAAAGTACCGTGTCACGAAGACTAAATGAAGTGGGACTTTTTGGTGTTAAGAAACTATTGAGCAGTAAGAAAAATAAAAAGGATAGATTGGAATTCAAACAAAAACACCAGTTCTGGACTATGGACGACTGGAAAAAAGTTTTATTCTCTGACGAAACTAAAATTAAGTTATTTGGAAACAATGGGAGAAGATACGTTCGACGACCTAAAGGTACTAGAAATGATCCACGATATCAAACACCAACTGTGAAACATGGTGGCGGAAACATCATGCTATGGGGCCTTTCTCTTGGAAAGGCGTTGGTCCAATTTTCAAAATTGATGGCATTATGGATTCTACTAAGTATAAGGGAATTATATTAGATGTAATGCTGCTTTGATCAATGATCCAAAACATCCATCACAGCTCCTTCAACAAGTTTTTTTCTCAGAAAAAAGTCAGAGTTTTAGAGTGGCCAAGTCAATCACCCATTTAAATCCAATAGAGCACTTATGGCAAGAGTTAAAATTGAGAAAAGGAACTGAAACTTGTGCAAATAAAGCTGAATTGTGGAAAAAAGTCCAAGAAGAGTGGCAAAATATCTCTCAAGAACGAATTGTCAAACTGATCAAATCGATGCCTCAACGATGTGCTGCCATGTTGCTGCAAAGGGTATGGCTACTAAATATTGATGAAAAACATTAATTCTTATATCTATTTAAAATTATAATCTTTTGTAACTGCTTCTTCTTAAGTTTTTTGTACATTTATTGAATAATTTTTGTTTTGACCGGATATTTATGGAGAATCAAATATTTTTGTTTTTGTTATAAATAATTATTGATTGTTATATTTAATTATCTGAGTATGTGGTAATGTAGCACAATAAATCTACTTTACAATGATATATTGCAGTTTTCATTTTATACTATATACTGTATAATAGAGTATTGCAACTGTATAATAGAGGTCGTGTAGTGAATGGTATCTGGTTTCTCAGCCTCATTGATTGCTAAACCAAAGAAGTGACATTGCAGATTTGTCCTGGAAATAGAAGGGATTATTATACTTTGTTGCACATGATTCAACAAGTACAAGCTCAAACAACTATTATGATCAATATGTGGAAGGGATACCAAGGTCTAACCCAACAATTTTATTCATACGATAGCATCTGCTTATTTGGATTATTTTGTTATAAATCGTATCGGTATTTAAGTAAATTGCAAGATAAAATGGCTCCATTTCGTGTTGGTTTCAGAATTTTCTTTGTTCTTCTGGTAAGCGCAGGAAACAAGTTCAAGGGGAGCTAACGATTGAGAAATTAGTGCTGTAGAGAGGCTACTCAATTTTTTGGACCCATTTGCATGTTATACCACAAACAATAGAAAAACAGTGGCGACGCTTAACATCACCACCTTTTATATCAGAATGATTTGATCAGCCATATCACGAAATATTTGTGGCGAAAAGATGGCAAGAGGGAGGGGAGAGATCCATTCTTCTTTCTAGTTGAACTTTGCAACATTGCAATTTGAAACTCGCGATTTTTTAAAATAAAAGTGTATGCAATTTGTAACTGTTTTGTAAACACCCTCTAAACTTTTTCCTTCACATTTGCTCTAGGCTAGAGAAAATAACGTTACATTACAAGTTTAAGTTACTTTCATGTGAATACAAATATAAGTATATTTCCCTAAGTAAATAAGTATATTTCCCTAGAACGGTATTACATGTTAACAGGTCCACGTCATGATGAAAAACAAGTGCGATGCACTGTGGCCCCCAATTGCTTTATCCATCCACCTTTGCGTACTCTGCCCTAAACCAGCCAGCTCCTGTTGCCTCCATTCCTGAGAACCTCATCTACTCGACTCTTGGAGGGAGTCAACAGCAATCGCAGCTTCAAAACTCAACAGAAACGGTATAAAAAAAACAACTAAGTATATATTGAGGAGTCCCCCGTCTAAATGCAACTAAACTTAACATGTTGCAATATTAAGAAATAAACCAAATCTTGATGCCTTTAGTTCACAAGAAAATCATATCTTAAATCTCAATTGCCAATTTTTTTGGACTGAGCCCTTATCACTACTTGAAACAGTATTGTACTAAGCAGAACATATCGTGTAATTTTTGAGTCTCAATCTTACAAACTTTAAAAAACCACCAAAAAAGTTATTTCAATTACTAGTCTAATGAAACTATTTACAATGACTTTTAGAAAAACTATTATATAATCTATTCATTAAGCACATAAATGCAATTCCCTTAATTAGCAAATATCATTTCCATATTAGAGATTTTGTCAAATATTTAGAACACAGAAGCGGTACAAACCTGAAAATTTTACATTTCATAATACAAGGAAAAAACTCATTTCACAGCATGTAACCTGCAGCACATGTCAACACAATGTTCTTTATGATTACTCTTTCTGTATTTTTCTTCCCAAATCAAACACTTCATCACAAAGTTAAAGATCGGTTTTGAATGAAGCAAGCTTTTGGTAGTCTCTAAGAGCTAAGAATAAGAAACCTTTCATCTTTAACTTCCTGACTGACATTAGAACAAGCTTACTTATGTATAAAAAGAAGCTGAACAATCAATAAAGTGTTAACTCAACTGTTGTTCACTCACTGTCCCCCAAATGATGTTTACTAGTTTCTGCACGTCATGGATTCACACAACCCGTGTGCACTGTAGTTAACCACTCCGTACACCTCCAATGTTGCAGTCCTAAAAACAAAATAATGTATATTAAAACAATATAAAATTATCAATGTTGTTGCAACTACTTAAAAGGACAGCATTTATTTTGCAAGAACAAAATTCATACAAAAACCTAAAGATGTTTCTGTAAAAAAGTGCAATATAAAAATACGTTATGTTGTTGGCAAAACAATATTTTATCCTCTCTAAAATCCAAACACCAATTTCTAATACGGGTTTTTATAAAGCGTGATCAAATATCTATAAAAATTGGAATAACATTAGATATAACCGTTTCCTTTGCATAACTTTGCAATAGGCAAGTACCTTGACCACGTTGCCATTTCCGAAGGTAATAACTAAACTTCGACAAACTATATCAGTCCTCATCAAACACTTTATTATTTAATATCCACAAATTACCTACACATCACACCACGCGTAACTCGCCGCTCGTTGTAAGCAGGGCTACCGAACTACGTGTTAATTCTCGCGACTAGCGTTAGTGCTGCGCTCGAAGGGGCGGAATCCCAATTACTAAGGGTGGTGGGGGACGCCCAGTACCATGGTGGGGGTAATATTTCGCACCAATTAGATGCACAGTATTTTTTCTGTACATTTCCTTTTAGAGTAATTACTATCCATTCTAGATTCCAGTTAGGAAATGTAGTGATATATTAATTGGCCATAGAACGTGCACAGGGCCATAACACAACTACACTCCATCAGAGAAATGAAATGACAGATTATTAAATTAACATACGAGCTAAAAACAATTGTAATTTTCTAGAAGAAGAATGATATACAAATTCTCACAAGTAAACCAATTTGTATAATATTGGATTTGGAAATTAATAGCAAAACATAAATTCACAACAATCATGTAGTTACTTCAATAAATCCACTAAATCTATTATGAAAATACTTTATCTTCGAGTGCCTCTGGAGAGAAAATCTTCTTTCCTCAATCAGTATTGAAGTGATTACAAATCCACTTGCTATTACAAACTACTGAGGGGAATAAACTGCTTCGTGTATCAAAAATGTAATAGTATGATATTCCATTATGTTTAAACTGTATTGTACTTTATTCCAAGCAATTGCAAAGATATTACTTATGAATTGCAATAAATACTTAGTTGAACATGACAATATTGATTCAAATTAATAATATATCATTTATTACTATCATCCGACAATTTACTGTCAATGACTATTACAAGGTGCAATCAAAAAGGCAGCTCTCTATATCACTGCTTAGCATTAGCAATTAATGTTACATCTTAAGCCATGGTTTCAATACTATCTTTGAAATTCTTCTTTAATAAGAGTGCATCACAAAACATTTTAAATGGAAAAGCAATGTAAAACAAATTCTTTTAAAAGAATATAAGTTTAATAGCACTGTACAAATTTGAAAAATGAATAATGCTTTTCATATCACCATTATTTTTAGAATGTCAGAAGCTTGGTTGTATTAGCACAATGCAATACGATTAATATTAAAACGATTTAAGAGTTTGGGAATGGAAGTACCTTTTTAGTTTCGTACATTAGTCTATTCTTCCGTTTTCACATATATTTCCAATTATTTTTACACAAAATATCTTATTAATTTATTTGGATAATTTAATGTACTAAGATTGAATCGAATTGTTGCACTCACATAATTGTCCAAATTTTCATTGTTTATTGAATTGGAGCCAACGAAACTAATGAAATTTTAAGTAAATTTTGAACAACATTTTTTAAACTACTGTGTTCTTCTCTTCATTATTCCAACATTCCATTTCCAAGCAAATCTCAAGAGAATGCCCCAAGTTGTAATTTGCTTTCAGAGCAGTAAGTGGAGCCTGAAGTAAATTGTGCTTATCATTAAATGCAATTTATACATTATATTAATAAATTATAATTAAATGGCAGAAGTATAAATTATTAACTAAGTTAATATTGAGTTTATTACTGCAAGTATAAGCATCTCATTGTTTTGCACCTCAAAAGGATGAAAAATAACATCCATTTTATGTGCAGTGTTTTAAAGTGCAACTACCACTAGAATGCAACCTTATAAATCCAGGGCTTGTGACCACTTCTAATATCGAACAATAACACAAAAGAACAAAACAAATGAAACTAACGCACCAGACAACATTTGGAAAACAAACCATAATTGTTTCCAGAAGGGAAAATTTGGTCAGGTTCCGTCAAGAATAGATTAAAATTACCCTGGAGCTTTAAAAATGTGTTTCTCAATACAAGCACTTTTCTCTAAAATCATACATCTATCTCAAGCACAGAACCCAATGAAGTAAAACTACTGTACTTGTAATTTCTGTTGTAAATGTAACTTTTTGACTGCATTTTTACAAAATGATGCACATTTCGCTGCTGATAAAACCAGCATAATTACCATGGCGTACAAGTTATCATAAAGAACAAATAAATTAGGCTCCAGGGTGCAAACATATAAAGAATTCACCACTTTGTAAGCGAGCACTGAGAGATTTGGGGTTGATGGTTCTGTCTGAGGATCAGTGCACTTGCCATTTCCCAATTGGTGGTTGTGACTTTCAGGGCAGCGGGAGAAGTGCCCATTTCCGCTGATGTACTGGATGTACAATCTCTTCCTCACCTTCCGAGACAGGCCAACAGCGGATCAGCAAGAGCTGTTGCACAGTGAGATAAAAATTAATTTTAATTTTAAAAAAATATACAAAACATATCACACTTCGAAATAAGGTTACTGGATTATTGTGGGACTGATGTAATGGATTCCATTGCTGAGCGATCTTTGCAGAATCTCCTATAAAATAAATCAACATTTTAATATGCATCTCAGTGAAAGAATTCAAGCCAAATGTTGATGTGGTTCACAAAGCAGAATACGATTGGCAGCGTTTGGAGTACCATCCAAAATACTACAATTTTTTTGCATTTGTAACCTGTGATTATCTGTATTTTTAAAAGGTTAAATGAAAATATACTCACGTAAACAGAAACTGCACACATCGCAGTCCTCGCTTTTGGGCAATAGCAATGAAATCTTCAGCCCTAGATGCGCACTGCATAAATTGCCCTGTTCACGATCCTTTCGCCATCTGGGATCTCTGCAAATTCCCTCATTTTGGCAGGACAAAAGGCCCGTCTTTTCGGAAGGGAATCTGTGGAAGAGATTCCTTCCAATCGTTTTTCTAATGATTAAAGGTTGTGCACATACGCAACAGGTAGACATCTGGAAACGAAACAAGACATCTTGCTCCTACATTATATAATAAATTGACCGAATTTTTCGTAGTATTAAGCTTTAATAATGATTTAATACGATATATATTTAATAATAACACCGAAGTCTTACCTCTACAAAAAATTGATTTTGAAACAGTGTTCGCCGAAGTCACAGATCGTCAAGGACACAACGGCCGGACCACAAAGCTAACCAGAATGAGGAAAGCTTTGTCTTCAAAACATCTTGTCCTCCGCGGACATCGATGTCTTCGGTAACTCGTTTTATTTTTTCTCGGTCGCATCGTGTCCATTCGAATTCTTTTTCCTCTGTTTAATATTCGCTTTCTCTTTCTAATCACTTGCGACTGCAGGCCCCCGTAGGCGGAATACCAACTAAACTTTGCGGAAAACGCAGGCCAGGCCCAGCCCTATGAAGCTAGGAGCCCCTGGTTGTAAGACCGTCGTATAGAATCGAGAGAGAAGCACAAGTCAAGCACCCCGCTCCACATCCTATTGAAGCGATGCAGCGAATGCTGACTTTCCACACCTGACAAATTTACTCCAGGCACGCGCGAAGAAAATTGCACATCAAAGACACCGTAAAAAAAAATAATAATTCCACTTCTCGAAATTTGTTAAACGGTGTTAAAACATAAGAGGTTTAAAACCGAAGCACGTGTCGCCCGCCACAATCAGGGCCGGTTCACTCAATGTAAAAAGCGAGACACTAAGTTTGTTTCCTCAGTCACGGGCCTGGTGCAGATAGCGCAGCTGTTCGTTTTGGCGCGCATTTTCAAAGTAAGGTTGTGCGAATTACTTGTGGTCCATGTAGAGATTATTCAAGAATCTTACCTGCTTTTCTTATGATTCAGATTAACTTGATTTAAATAATATTTTTAAATTATGTATTATATGTGTTTACTTAAAACCAAAATTGTAAAGTGATTTATTTATTATTAATTACTTTAAAAGCAGAAAAAAGTAATACTATCTGAATCACAAAACCTTTTACTGTTGAAAACAACTGATTTCATCAAAAAACTTACAACAATATTAGACAGTTTTTGAAATATTAAATTCTATTTAATAGTTGTCCTTTTCCTTCCCACTTAAATGGTATTTTATCAATATACACAAGGGTTAGTATTATTAAAATTAGTGAGATTAAAAACCGTTTTTATTAGTTTTTACAATATTAATTTTATTCTCTACATGAGTATCAATAAAAGTCCATTTTTATTAATGCTCATCTTCTTTAAGATGTTATACTTTATGTGTCATTAGCAAACATTTTACTTCAAATCTAGATTTTCAAAAAAGCTTGAAGATTTAACACATTATTTTGAAACTAGCTCGGTGTGTGTATTGTTCCTAAATTTGCTTTTATCTACAATAAAAAGCTGGATAAAAACTATTATATTATCCACGTTCATTAGTAAGTAACTACTGCAAGTTGTTTATTTTTTATTTCATAAGCATGTTCATTTTAATGAATATTACATTGTATTTCTTTCTCGAAATTGTTCAATTATGTGAAAAAGATTATAAGAAATATGATATTCTTTGTATAAACTGTGTAATTGATTTAAGTTTTTATATGTATAACTTCTTTTTTCAAATATTAAAAATAATATATATTTACTTAAATCATTGATTTTTAAAAAAATATCATTTTATTTAAATCATGATTGAAATCATACCAGCCTTAATTTTTGGTGACATTTTTTATCCAAATATGGAATTTTAATTTTGATACAATATCAATCATTGGTTCAATGACTATTTTGGGTAACCAAGGAAAA